CCTGACTTCTACAGGCCTCATTAATCTCCCTGCTTCTTGTGTCTTTCACAGCACTTACTGTCCTCTGCATGAGATAACATGGTGTAGAGCAAAGAGCACTGGACTTGGAGTCCGAGGACCTGAGTTCAAATTCTGGCTCCACCACTTAATAGCTCTGTGACCTTGGGTAAGTCACTTCTCTTGCTGATGCTCAGTGTCCTCAGTTATAAGGGCTGTTAGGGAGACTGATGAAATGAGGGCTACAGAATGCCCAGATGGTGCCCAGTGCTGGTTCTGGCAGGAAGCTTCTCATGTGACCCTCACTGTGTCCTTTTGCCTCTCTGCCCCTTAAGGGCAGCCATTTCTGGCATCCTAGTGGCCTCGGAGCTGGATTTCAATGCTACAATTATAGAAATGCAACTGTGAAACAATCCTTAGATGAGGAAGCCCCTCACTGGGTTGAAATCCCTGGCTTATATGCCTTCAATTTACACCCTTTGAATCCATTTTTCACCCTTGAACATTCTCCTATTCCTCTATTTATCTCCCCATTGCCCTCAGAATTAAGTCTGTAATTCTTTTAATGGTATGGAGCGCCTGACCCCTGCCACCTCTATGCGTCTTGCCACTGCCCAGCTGCTACTGCAGCCGTCCCTCCAAGCTGTAAAGAACCAGGTGCTAATTTCTTTTGCAAACTGCCCTCCTTGCCTTACCCCTCTGTTTTAACCTTTCTGTTCTCAGTCTAACTGTCACTTCCATCCCTGGGCTCCAGAGCTGGATGGAGCACCTTCCCTAGGTGCAACCACAGCAGTTGAGGCCATACCCCATGTGGCCTTTATAACCATTAGTTATAGTGAGCTTTTTAAAAAAATTTATGCCTATCTTTATTTCTGTCCAGAGCCAGAGCTTTTGAAAGGTAGAAACTGTTTCTCATTCAATGCTGACTTTCAGGTACCTGGCATGGGGTGTGGTTCCTAAACCGTGCTTAATAAATATTTATTAAAGAGAGGAAAGAAAAAAGGAAGAAATAAAGGAAGGAGAAAAACTACAGAGAAAACTACATTTCCTTTTGTCTGGGGGTGAGAATTGGCTTTGAAGCAACTTGTAGTTGCGTTCTCCAGTAATCATTCTAGAACCACCATCATCTGGACCATCATCTGGTAAGGCCACATGCCTCAACCATCCCTGGTCATTAGCTGAGTTAGAAAGTTTTCATTATCCTGATGGTGTGCTCTCTCTCTGGCCAGAGCAGCGAGGTGAAGCCCTCTCCTCTTTCCTTAGCCAGATCACAGAATGTTTAGAAGGAGCAGAGGTGGGATGGGGTGGGATATGATTAATGTTTTCTTCCCAGAATACTTGGCTTACAGGTGATCCAAGGGGAGAGGAAGAGGTGGGGAGAATAGAGTGAATGAGGCAGAGAAACATACAGCTTCTCCTCGCAAGTATTCTGCATGTGCCCCAGCCACCAATAGATTCTCTTGGGGGTTGAGCTTTCTGTGAAATGGTCTTTGCCATCCTGAACTATGAGACTGCATCACCTTTGGTCTTGGGCCAAATAGCAATTTTGATATCTAGGTAAGTATCAAAGAGAGAGCAGAATAAACAGATACTTACTATGGAGACACCTGGAGAGTCCCCTAGGAATGGTATAGGCTGGGGCTCAGGGACAGTCTCATTTAGAGGAAGTTACCCTCAGCAGCCTCTAATGAGAAGATTGGATGTGTGGGGTGTGGGTAGCACAGCCTTGCAGTACCACTACCAGCACAAGGTAGCACCTCACACTAGCACATGTGTAGTATGCTAAGTGTATCCAGTATAAATGAGTTACATTGTATTAGACAGATGTTACGTTCTTAAGCACTGTGATAAACACATTCATGCATTAATTTAATGAATTCTTGAACAACCTTATGATGTAAGTAGCATTATCAGTACTGCTTAATAGATGAGGACATTAAAATGGGTTTCAGAGGGACTTATATAACTTGCCCAAGGCCACCAACTGATCAAATACTTGAGCTGTAATTTTAGCCTATGAACTTGATCTCTGCTTCAAACAAGCCCTCCAACATCCCAGGAACTTGGAGCACAAAGATAAGGTTTCAGTGTCCATTTGGGTCTTTCAGGAAGCAGAAGCGCAAGAGATTTATTTGAGGAAATGCCTGTGAAGGAGAAAGGGGAGATGGAGCAGGAGAAGGTGGGAGAGGCTTCAGACATGCTGCAGGTCTGACACCTGTGAAGGGAGAGAAGGAAGGAAGGACGATTTGGTGGAAGAGTCTGGTACTAGAGTACAATGCAAAGAAAATGTCGGTCAGGCCATGGGGAAGCCCCGGAGCAGAGATTGCTCATGAGAGGAAACCTACATTGGTAGGAATGGCAGCTATAGTACTCCTATGCTCAGTCACAGAACCCCTGTGCTCTGAGTCAGGGGGCACCCGGTCTAGTACTCCCTATGCTGGAAGCAGCCTGGGTAGAGCACGTCTCAGCAATGGATCCTGAAGGTGCAGCAGCTGGAGGCTGTCAGCTCCCCATGCTGCTCCTTGCAGCAGAGTCTTGAAGGGAGGCTTGAGCAGCGTGTTCCCACGGCTACTACAGGCTCCGTGCTTGAGCTGTCCATAGCCCATTTACTAATATACTGTAGAGTTTAGACAGGATGTTATGAAAGCCCCAGGATGGGATGTCCCTGTCGCCTCCCGGGATAGAAACCATTTTCTGGTACGGTTGAGCAGGTTGTACACTCAATAAAGGGACCTTGCCAAGAGGGCTGGTTGGGATTTGAAATGCAGAAATGTGAACTTTGCCGTTCTGGCTCAGAGAGGCACCCTTTTCTAATTCAACCACTCAGATGGACATCTTTTTCTAACTTGTACAAAGATGGCATGTAGGCAACAAGTAGCCTGTGGTTCCTGGGAGAAAAGAGGAATCCTTCTGTGCAGATTCGGGGTCATCTGGACAAAGGGGGCTGGGAGTGAGGTTGAGGCTTCTGCACAGGGAGGCTTGTGGAGAGCAGGAAGTAAGGGTAAGGGTGCGTGAGATGAGCCAGCCATAAGCCTAGAGAGGTAAGTGGGACAGGTCAGGGGCCCAGTGTCCTTTGTTCCTGAGGCGTACTCTGCTGGAGGTCAGTGGGAGGCTGTTTGAGGGATTTAGGTGGTAGAGAGACATGCATTGTCATTTTGGAATTACTGGTCACTTTTAGATATTAAAAAAAAAATCATATTCTAATATGACTGTTCAGTCTCCCACCCAATGTAACACTCAACTTCTCTCCAACTCCTAGTCTAGGCTGGGCTTCAGCTTGAAGTGCCTGGGATGGGGATGAGGGGATGATATCTTCTGCTTAGTCTTCTTCTCAGCCCCTACTTTGCCTGTGTCTCCCCTTAATTGCCTCCCATACCAGCTACATTTAAGGTCCAGGACCTCTGGTGATGGGGCAGAGTGGTGAGTGAGGGACAGTGCTGAATCTTTTGACATTTCCAAAGTGCCCTTTCATCTTCTTTTGCCTGTCTTGGATGAAGCCACCAAGGCCCTCCAGGGGCCAGCCCCAGGGTATCTTCCCTGCTGCTTGAGATGCATGTGTGATTCTTCGTGTGTCCAGTTGGTGGGAGAGCTCCCACTTCCTTCCCTCCCTCTCTCTGCCTATATAAGTTTTTTACTTATATATTATATCCTGATTGAGATGGGGTGGCTGGCTTGACTGTCCCTTGGTAAATCTTGGGCAAAGAGGAAAAAGATAGCTTCCAATTGTGCTGGCTTTTTTTCAAAAGACAGAGTGGTTGCCCTTATCCTCTGCTTTGGGCATGAAGAAAATCCTGCTGTGCCTCCTGTTAAGTAGGAGAGAAATGGGAGGGGAGCATGCCTACAGGTAGATTGGAAGTGGCATCAGGAATGCAGTGCGGGAGAAGTCATAAGTATGTAGTGCCTTTCAAGGTCATGGGGATGAGCAGCCCAGCTACCTTCTACTCTCTAGTATGCCACTGGCAATAATAATCCCATTGAATGTATGCAGAGGGTAAACAAGTGGGTGTGTAAAAGGATAATTTGTTGCAATTCACCTCTTCCCCAAAATAACAGATGATAACAGTAGCCAGCTTTTCCACAGCTCTTCTCACTTCATGAAGTGATTTTCAATTCTTTATGTGACTTGAAAGTCATAACGTGCCTTTGAAGTAAATGGGTTAAGATTATCACTTAAATGTCAAGGACAATGGAGAATTAAGGGCTTGGCTGAAGATCATATAGCCAGGTGAGGGCAGAGTCTGAAAAGGTCATCTAGGTCTTCTGACTGCCCCCTCTTCCCACCTCCCCGCCCTCCAGAGCCCATCCACTAAATGTACACTACCCAGATGAGAGAGGTGCTCTAAAAGCCTTTCACGAGGTTGCTACTGACATACAAACCACTCCGAGGCCAGACATTGCTTTTATACTGTGGTGAAACCACATTGTGTAGGACTGAGAAAATTTTGTTCTTTGAGCTAAAGTAAAGCTGAATTATGTGCCTCTGTTAAGAAACTGTTTGCCTGGTGTCCACAGGTAGAGGGAGGAAGTCTTTTTACTTTTTAAGAGGAAATACTGTTTTTGGGCACTCGTTTAAGAGTACCAGAGAAATAACTGAGGCAGGCATCATAAGTCACCCTGGCCTTGTTATTAAGGCAGGACTCTTAAGGCTCTCCACAGGGCAGAGCTTGTTGACTTCTATTTGTAACCAATAGATGCTATAATTCTGGCTCATTACTAATTCTTTGATTACTCAATTCATCCGAATTAGTGTGGCTTAATTTAGAGGAAAAGCATGTTAAACTCAGGTCCTAGTAGAAACTGCCCCTAGGCTCACAGTTGGTTGCTTTGGGCCAAGATGACCCCTCAGGGGTCTGAGGTAAATGCTGGACAACCCCTGAGGCCTCCTCCCTTCCTCTGACAGAAGCTAAGGAGCAGGATGAGTGGGAGAGTGTGATGGGGGAAGAGTTCTAGAACCTGCTGAGTTTTTGTTTTGTTTTGTTTTTCTCTTTTCTTTTTTAAACCAGGAATTATTAGCCGAGAAGATGCAGAAGATCTCCTTGAGAACATGACCGAGGGAGCGTTTCTGGTCCGGGTCAGTGAGAAAATCTGGGGTTACACCCTCTCCTATCGCCTGCAGAAAGGGTTCAAGCACTTTCTCGTGGATGCCTCTGGGGATTTTTACAGCTTCCTGGGAGTGGACCCCAATCGCCACGCGACGCTCACAGATCTCATAGATTTTCACAAGGTATCGCTCTTAGAGGTGCTGGTTGGGGGTGAAACTGTTAGAAACTTGAGCAAAAGGGAGAGCCAGGCTGCAGGCATTCTAAGATCTGGTGATGGAGAGTGAGTAGGCAGCCCTAGAAGTGCTTAGGGTCATAGGATATGGAACATCAGGGTAGAAGAGACCAGAGTTTGTCTAAACCAGTTAATCTAGGTCTTCTCTCTGGCTTATCTTCTGACCCACATGGGGATCTCTAACCTTAGTCCCTAGCCCTCCTCTCACCTTGAGTACCTGAGTGTTCCCTACTGTCAACACTTAGGGGCTGGTTGACTAACCTTCTGTCTAAGCCTATGTCTCATCCCCAACTCATTCCCAGATTATTCCTCTCGAGGACATTCTAGGCAGGCTCCTGACAACTTTGTAGAGTTGGCTACATCCTAGCAGGCAACTCTTTGGTCAGAGAAACTTTCCTTGTAGAGTTCTGTGTCTCTTGTTCCAACTACAGCCCTATCACTTATTAAATATGTGACTTTAGACAGGTTCCTTAGTCTCACTGAAGTTTAGTTTCCTAGTTGGGCAAATAGATGTAAATAATGCTCAGCTCAGATCATATGAGCATTAAATGAGAAGATGATGTACATAACATTCTGTAACTGTAAAGTACTATGGAAGTTCTCGTTTCCCGGAACTCTTTTTGTTATTTATTCCCTTATTGTGAACCTCACATTGAAAAAGATGTTGCCTTCTAATAATACATGTAGAAAAAAGCAATTTCTGTGTTAATGTGGCTGTTGGCATCAGTAATAACTGGGAGAAAGACAAAGGTGGAACTTGGTGACCCAGAAGGACAGAAGCCAAGGTTTCCGAGACAGAGTGGTAGTAGCTCAGGGGTCCACTAACTACCCGAGCTTTGCAGGTGTAGAAAGTTCCACTGCATTACTTGACTGTGTCACTGGGCTTTTGCTAAAATAGGGACTCTTGGATTTGTATTGCTTTTTCTTCATTGATGTCCCCAGGGCTCTAGGGACAGCTCTTAATCTGACCTTATAAGTAAAGTATGTAGAAAATCACCCATTTGCAAATACCTACACACTGAGAGAAGAGGACTGCCTGGAAGACTAGACTGACCAGGATCAAGACTAAACAGGATTTCCGTTTGTGTTGGGAAGAGCCTTTTAACAGCTATTAAGAAAGAGAAATGGAAGGGATGTGTGGATACTGGTCCCTTCTCTATGTTAAGTGCTGTGATTATTGCTCTACATCCATGTTCTCATTTAATCTTACCAGTGCTCTGTTAGGGAGGCATATTGTTCCCATTTCACAGATCAGGAAAGGGAATGTGTGTAACTTGTCTAAGTGTTCATGGCTGGTACCAGCTGGGTCCAGGTGTTAAGCCTCAGGCTGTGTGCCTCGAAAGCTTGTGCGCCTCGAAAGCTTGTGCTTTCCCCCTAAACCACATTGTTTGCTTTCCCTGATCTAGATAAGCTGCTTTGAGCAGTGATGAGCTCTGTGTCTCTGCAAGGATACATGCAAAGGGTAAATGTCCATCTCTCAGAGATGCTGTGACAGTTTCCTGCTAGCCTACATGTCCTTGAAGGTCTTCGCTCTTTCCCAAATTTAAACTTTGAGACTGCCATTTTAGTTTCTAACAGTAAAGATTATTCATCTATGCCCATGCGGGGTTCCAGTGGCCAGTTTTATAAGTTAAAATTTTAATTACACATTAATTTATGATTACATTCTAAGAACAATCAAATACAGTCAAAGTGAAAGCCTTGTCCATTTCTGCCTTCCACCTTGAATTATCACTTTACCCTGTACCTATCCAAATATTTCCTGGGTATTAACACAGAAATTTGTGTACATAAGGAAATACATAGTTTTATTATTTTTCACATAAATTGGATAATCCTTTACCAATAGCTTGACGTTTTGATTTTTAACGTGATTAATATATCATAGAATGTATTTTGTAAAAGCATGGTCCCTAGAATCAGGCTGCCAACTTTTAAATCCCAACTTCATTATTGTGTGTGACTTTGGACAACTCAAACTTTTATATCTTAGCTTCCTCCTCTTTAAGATGGGTTTAATAATAGCACTCACTTCTTAGGGTCACTGTGAGGTTTCAATGAGATATCACTGTAAAATTCTAAAACAATATACCTGACATCTGTAAGTTATCAGGATCTTAGCTGTTATTAAAATATGTCTATGAGATCTTTTCGTGTCAATACATGTATCACATCCTTGTAAATGCCTATGGTGTTCCGTGGTATGGATATATATTACAATTTAATTATATATCCTCCTTTTGATGACCACTTGCATAGCTTCCAGGTTTTCCTGATCACAAACAGTGCTGCAGAGACTTCTTGTATATGTCACTTTGGGCACATGTGCGAGTATTTCTCTAAGATGAATCTCTCAAACTGGAATTGCTGGATAGAAGACTATGCACATTTTAATTTGAAAAAATATGCCAGATTGCCCTCCAAAAATGTAGTGCCAACTCATGGTCCTGCCAAAACTATATGAGGCTATTTCCCTATCAATTCTAGGAATTATAAGTCATTTTAATTTTTTCCCATCAGATGGGCAGACACTGAATCTCACTGTTGTTTAGCTTGCATTTCTCCTATTACTACTGATGGTGAGGCTCTTTTCATATGTTTAATGGCCACTTGGATTTCTTCTGTGAATTGTCTGGTCATACCCTTTGTCCATTTTTCTACTTAGATGTCTCTTTCTTATTGATGCATCAATTCTTCCAGTGACTAAATTGCTCTTTAGTTATATTCGTTCTGGTCTTCAGTTCTTCTATTGAAATTTTTCTTGTAATTTAAGTAGGCATCCCTTTGCATTTCCAGGTTCTTTAATTTTTTTTTTTTTTTAAATAATAGCCCACTCTTGTTTCATGGATGATTTATCTTCTTATTCTACTGGGGAGATTAGTACCTATCTTTTAAAGGCTCTGTTTTTTTTGTTTTTTTTGTTTTTGTAATAAACTTGCTATTTTCTTGGGAATTCAACATTTCTCTTGTTGAATTTGGCATCTTTCTTTCATGGTTATGATTTTCCTTAAATATTTATAAATTTTGAGCTAGGAAGTGACCTTTGAACTTCGAATTTCCTGTTTATCCACCAGTGGATACAGTTTCTGTTTTCCAAATTCAGTGTCTTTATACTGTCAGGGATAGGGTTGATAGGGAGTAGTTCATCTTTTGGGCATGGGAGCATCTGAACTTTGTGGGTCTCTTTGGCTTCCCGAGGAACTATGTGCCTCTCCTTACTTTCTGACCTGCCTGAGGCAAAGACCTCTGCTGTCTGGGGGTCTCCAACCTGTCTCACTGATACTTGCTCTAGTCTCTGCCCCACATTAACCCCTCTGAAAACCTCATCCTGTGTATCTTTTGGTTTTCAAGTGTTTTTCAACATTTTTGCTCTGTTGATGGCCTTTCTTCTTCTTTTTCCATATGTTTTTAAATTTATTTTTAAAAGCAGATTTTTTTCTGTCATTTCTAGAAATTTGAGTGAGAAGGAGACAGACATACATAGTCTTTCTATATTGAACTAGTCTCTCTCTGGTATATGTTTATTTCCATTTCTTAATTAAAAGTGAATATTTCTTTTTTTTTTTCTTTTTAGGAGGAAATTATTACTGTTTCAGGGGGCGAATTACTGCAGGAACCCTGTGGACAGAGGGACAGCCCGCCAGACTACCATCTGTTGTTTGAATGACGTTTTATTTTCTTATCAGTTGGGCTCCTTGTTTTTGAACTCGAGAACTTCTAAATTGAAATCCTTATGGCCTTCTGGAAGACCTACAATCATCCAGAGGATTAAGTAGATTAGTATATCTCAAGAAATATGAAATACATGGCATATGTGCTACTGGTCTCTGTCCCAGGGCCCAGGACAGAAACTGCTAATAACTGATGCAACTCTTTCATGACAAGTTTAGACATGACCTCAGAAGATGAAGCCTATTTGTCATGGCTGCCCTAAACTCAACTCCTGGAGCCTATGGCTCACGTATTTATAATCCAAGATAATTCCAGTGCCGAACTCTGAATTTAACATATGGTAGACATTCAATAAATGTTTGTTGAATGAATGCACTTCTGAAAGTTTTCCAACATTAATCATCATTGATTTCTAGTAAGTTATTTCCTACTTGTCACTGTTTATAAAGTCATGGAGATTATAGAAGAAATATTATAAAAGATTTATATGGAAAACATAGAGGCTATGTTTAATGATGTTCATTATCACCCTTGTTGGTATTATTACTGGAATTACTAAAGCTTCTGACCCCTGCTTCCAGAACAAGTGACTGACACTGCCCCACTTACCTGCCTCTCCTTCTGCCACCCCTCCTCATCATGGAGTCATATCTTGACCCTCATTTTGTAATACTGAGGCAGTGGCTTCGTGTATTCCTATAGTTGTGCCCCAAACCTGGGGTGAATTATAAATCTGAGAATGGTTTTTAAGCATCTACTAAGTCCTTTGCTCTCTAGGATTTGGCCCTTTTTATGCAGGTTACTCAAATGATTACCTCTGCTTCATAGTCCTTTGATTTTGATTCTACTGTCCACCCAATTTGAGTATGTTCTTCCTATTAAGGAGAAGAGTCTTTCAATAACTCTCAGGGATGTTGTCTGTGTACTCTTATGTTTCACATTTATGGACATATACATAAGAGACATCGTGTTATGATGAAAATATATACTCTAGAATCAAACAGACTTGCTTGCAATGCCTTACCCTGGAACTTACTGGCATTTTAATGCTAGCAACATTGTATGTAGTGAGAGTAAAAGGATGGATAGATGGATGGATGGACTCTGCCGATGTAAATGAACTGGTTACCTTACTTGATAGTTGTATCAAACATCTCTTATGCTCGGCACCTTTCGCTTCACCTGTTCTTCAGGTCCTTCGCCACTTGTTTCACCCCAGGTGCCACCACTGCAATCAATTTTGCATGGGCTCTGCTCTTCCTCCTGTGTCAGTCAGCTTCACCTGAGCATACGCCAACGATACCTTGCCACATGGTACTCTGGGCCTCTCATCAGTTGCTGCAGAGGCATAAGACACCATGCAACCAAGGAGAGCTGGGAAGTTAACTCTCCATGCAGTGAACCTTTGATCAGTGGAACACAGTGCCTAGTAGATAAGTTCTTCTCCCTTTCTCCTCCTAGAGGGACTTTTTTGAGAGACAGATTCTTCGTATGGCCTCTTAAAAGGCAATCCCGCAGGATCAGTTATTTGGCCATCTTTATGCAGGTTACTCATCATTATTTCATTATGATCAACTAGTCATAATGAAACAGCAGTGGTCAGATCAATATCACAGCCCCCGTATGTTCTTCCTCCTTCTTTGCCTCACTGTCTTTTCTCTTTCTCCTGCTCCCCTGGGATAGCTCTCCCCAGTAAAGCAGCAGCATGTAAGCATTTGCCTCAGGCTCTGCCTTTTGGGGAAGCTAGGATAAGGACCCATCATACAAATATGCTCAATAATATCAATCTCACAACCTGTCTCAAGGTTTCCCTCCTGTTTGCCTGCCTCCCAGGGCCCCCGAATGAATGAAATGCAGTGGTGGAGGGAACCTGCTCTCTGAATTCTAAAGTGCTTTAAAACCATAGCTGATTATCTTTAAAATTACTTTCTTTCTATTGGACTCTGAGGAACCAAATTTTAACTTTGGCTGTGCTACTTATCAACTACATGACTTTGTTCAAGTCATTTAACTGCACTAAAGCTTGGTATAACTGAGGAGAGAATTTTCTGATGACCATCACTAAGTTTTTTGGCAGGTCATTAAATGATATGTATGAAATTTCTGTCCAAATGAAAGGTATTGCTAACAACCACCACCGCCACAACAATTATTTCATGCTTAGCAGCGACATGTCAAGGGGATATGATGTGATGATTTTCAAGGTGTTAGAAGAAATTTTTAATTTCGAGAACAGCGGCTTTGAAAGCAGACCAAGATGGGCTGGGAACCCGAATCCCTGAGCTGTTGTTTCTGTCACTCTAATTAATATGTGAGAGACAACAGCTGAGGTTTCCAGCTCAACACATTTATTTCATTTTATTCGGGGTCCACCGTTCCTTCATGTCTCATGTATTTTAGATTTTACCTGGCCTTAAAATAAATTTCATATTAGTTGTCCTGCAAATGAAGTTACTGTCTGGAAAACTGCAATTTCATCTTGAGAATTTTATTATGTTAATAAATGTCAGGATTCTCAAAGAAAGGAATTGCCTTTATTTTTTTTCCTGGAGCCTTACAAATATAATGAAAAACAGTCAGTCAGCTACATGACTCGACAGAGGGAAAATTTGCAATCTATAGCTAGAAGTTATAAAAAAAATACTACACAATTAATGGAAGATAAATTTCAAAGGATAAAGAGTAACTTGCGGTACAGATTCAGGGAGATCCTTGTGTGGCAGAGTTGGGGAGCTGTGCTTCTATCTGGCAGAGGGGGAATATCTTAGGGGTGTGGGCTAAAAGAGGCTACTGAGAGCAGAGCATTAGAAGGGAGATGTGGACATGAAGTCTTGGGCGCCTGTGGACTGTGTCCCTTTCTATACCCTGGAAACTTTCATTATCTTTAGAACTAAATTTGGATACAGGAAATTTAGTTTCTGTGACCTTAGACAAGTGTCCTCAATTCCCTGGGACATACATAGTTTCTTTTGTGAAATGGGGCAAACAGTCCTTATCTCAGAGGGTGGCTGTGGAAATAACACTGTGTGAAACTTTATAATAGTAATGACGAATAATTGCTTCAGCTCTGTGTGTGTGTATGTAATTCTCACACCATGCTGAAGGAGACAGTGCTATCATCCTTATCTTGTGCATAGGGAAACTGAGGCACAGAGAAGTTCAGACCTTTCCTGGTACCACTTCTCTGAGGAATTACATTATAGCACTAGGATTCACCAGTCTGGCTTTGGAGTCTGTGTGGACCTTATACCAATCCTTCTCAAACTGGAACATTCAGATCCAACACAAGGTGATGTTCTTAAAATGCAGATTCTCAGATTCTCTGTCTGTAGCTTTTACCAAACTCCTGGGCGCTGCTGATGTGGCTGGTTGTCAGCCACTTTGAGAAACAAGCATTAAAAGCAGGGCTTGGCAAATGATAGTCATAGGCCAAATTGAGCTTCTTGCCTTCTGAGAGCCAAGAGTGGATTTTACATTTTCAAATGATTGGAAGAAATTAAAAAGAATAATATTTTATGACCTGTGAAAATTACATTGCATTCAAATTTCAGTTTTTATAAATAAAGTTTTATTGGAATATAACCATCTGTTTACATAGTTATCTTTGGCTGTGTATAGCCAGGAAAGACTAAAATATTTATCTGACTTCTTACAGAAAAAAATTGCTGAACCCAGCTTTAAATTATGGTGCATGTGTTAGGAATTATTTTTTTTTTTCCCCCCTGCTTTTTCTAAATCTATTATTAGGAGAGATTCTAACAACATCACTTATACCTCAGAGAGACCTAAGTAAATGTGTTACATTTTCTAGTAGTGTTTTTTTCTTTTAAATTTGAATCTCATCTCATCTCTAACAACCAAAAAGGAAGCTTGTTTCTTTGTTAAAGGTTTTTAACCAAATGTAAGCAAGTACTATCACAGTTATAGATATTTCACGTGGGCATAGAATTATTTGCTTTCTAGAATTTATCATACTTTCCTATACTTAACTGTGTATGTATCTGTTGCCCTTCAGTCTGTAAGGTCCTGGAGGTCAGACAATGCCCTGTTTACATTTGTGTTTTATGGTGCCTAAAACAGTTGATGTTATTGAGTTGTGTTTGTTATAGATCAGGGACAAATGGACTGTGCAGATTTTAAAGACCTACTCTAGCCTTTAGAGGAGCCCTGTAATCGAAAAGCCCAGAACAAACATATAGTTGCTTTGGGTTGGGATCCCAAATCCACTACTTTTAGTTGTTAAGTGGAATAAAAGAAACAAAAACAAATGAATAGATAAACAAATGAGGTTGAAAAAGTCAAAGGTGGCTCTGTTAACAGCTAGTCTGAGAGGGGGAAACTGAGACTTGAAACAGAAACCACATCTTGGCAAAACTGTTCTGTGAATAGCAAATGAGATGCAGTAGTTTCTCACTACCCTCACCCTTATCCGGGGTTTTGTTTTCCACTGTTTCAGGTACCAGTGGCCAACTGTGGTAAAACTGAAAATATTAAATGGAAAATTCCGGAAATAAACAATTTATAAGTTTCAAATTGCATGCTGTTCTGAGTAGTGTGATGAGTAGTAGTCCTTGCCTGCATGGGACGTGACTCATCTTGTTGTTCAGCGTCTCCACGATCGTACATGCTCCCTTCCTGTTAGTCACCTGGTAGCATTTCTCCGTTATCGGATCCAATGTCGGATATCGCAGTGCTTGTGTTCAGGGAACCCTTTTTTTACTTAATACCACCACAATTACGTATTTTTTTTTATTACAGTATATGGTCATAACTATTCTATTTTATTTTGAGGTATTATTGTTAATCTCTTATTGTGCCCAACATAAATTGAACTGTATCATAACTATGTATGTATAGGAAAAGTGTATGTTGGGTTTAGTACTATCTGTGGTTTTAGGTATCCATCGGGGATCTTGGAACATATCCCTTGAGAATAAAGGGGACTACCATAAACTGAACTAAGCCATAGCCTGCAAGAGAAACTGTCTAAGCTTAAACCTTTTTAACCAGTTATTCAGACCCATCTGTTTTAATAGGACATCAGACGAGCTGATCTAACAGTAACTCTGCATGACATTTTTTTATTGTGGTAAAATATACATAATATAAAATTTACCATTTTAATACTTTCAGGTGTACAGTTCAGTGGCATAAACGCATTCAATTCACATTGCTATACAATCATTATCACCATCTATCCACAGAACTCTTCATCTTGTGAAACTGAAACTTTGTGCCTATTAAACAATAACTCCCTATTCTTTCCTCCCCAGCACCTGGAAACCAGCATTCTACTTTCTGTCTGTATTAATTTGATGGCTCTAGGTAGCTCATATAAGTGGAATCATACAGTATTTGTCTTTTTGTCACTGGCTTATTTCACTTAGCATGATTTTTTTCAAGGTTCATCCATGTTGTAGCATATGTCAGAATTTTTTTCCTTTTTAAGGCTGAATATTTCATTTTATGTATATAGCACATTTTGTTTATCCATT